TTAGGGTTTAGGGTTTGGGGTAGGGCCTACTAGAATTTTTCTCAATACTACACATGTTGGTTATAAGTCGTAATTATTGGATAATCTATACCACCGGACCCTATTCTAATTAGTAAGGCCCGTATATTGCGGTCAACGCGACAGGCCGCGACAGCATGGCAGACCGAAGTGCTTGTATGCTGCTTTCAGAGGTTCTCAAATGGGTAGGTGTAGCTGTGATGTGCGACGGGCCTGGCGCACGAGGACAATGCTGCTTGTGGGTTAGAAGGTGCTTGGCCAACATGCTGCTCGAAGCTTCCTAACAAGCGTGTATTCTTCAATGGCATGCCCTAGCGTATTCATATTCCAGCAGCAGAGACATGCAGAGACACCTACACTGGAAGACCTATCTGGGGGTGCCTGTTTGTGCAGTTTTGTTTTGGTCTCCTTGGGTCGCATTAAGGCAGGCAGTGATGAATCCTAAACCCTGAACCTCGGAACCCGAAGCCATCCATTGATAGATCCGGCTGCGCCGCTTCCGTGACCAGGACCAAGCGCCACGAAGGACGCAGATGGCAGGCAGAAAGTCGATAACCAGGGTTTAGGCTGTACCTATAGTCTCCATCGTAGTTCCTTTTTTTGGTTTAACCAATTATATACTAAGTATTTTATAAGCTATCCCCAAAAAGGAACTACAATGGAGACTACAGGTAGGGTTCAGGAATTAGGGTTCAGGGTTATACACAGGCTCCGGATCGAGCAGTATTACAGTAAAGGTGTATTTGGGGTTTCGGCATAATGCCCACCCACCCAGAGAATCCCATAACATTGCATAAGGAGCAAAAAGGGTTTCAACTACATACGCTTCAGAGTTTCACATCTTCACGCCACACGAACTGGGCAAGGTCCAGAAATCCGGAAATTCTTGGGCAAGGTCCGGAAATGTGTGGGCAAGGTCCAAAAGTCTGGAGATTCGTTGGCCAGGTCCGGAAAAACTTTGCCCACGAATTTCGGGACCTTGCCGACGAATTTCCGGACTTGGCCTAGGGTTTCTGAGGGGAGGGTAGCTCCATGCTCCAGTTTCTGCCCCCAGGTCCGGTAGCAACTTCAGCCTCAACCGGCTCCACATGGTGAAACCTCCCCCAACCCCGCAATCAACCCTAAACCCTAAACCTCCCCCAACCCCGCAATCCAAGAACTTAAGTCCTAAATTCAAGCTCCCTACAAGGAGCCCAAAGTCAGGAGACCTCTTTCAAAAGGCTCGGGAGGGGGATCTCAAAAAGCACGCGACATCTGGACAGCGGCTTTAGTGCTCGGTTTTCTTCGTTGTTTTTTTCAGGTTCCTGCAAAGCAGCCCTAAACCTTATAACCCTAAACTCTCTAAGCACGCGCTGGCGATCCTGGCGGAGCTTGCCGTCCCGCCTCGCGGATCGACCGTAAGACCCACCCCAGTCCCGTCCCCGTGTGGGTTGTCATTATCGTTTGGGAGTTTCCGAAAATAGGGGACCGTAATATAGTACCCGAAATAAGAGGATCCTTAATATAAGGACCCCAAAATAAGGTACCCCAATTTTCGGAAACCCCCGTTTCTGGCTCTTCCCTGCGACAGAACAAAAAAAAAGAAAGGAGTCTGCCCGTTATGTCCGACTCTTGTGGCAACTCTAGTCAGATCTCAAGTGGCCCAAATTGGGACAAACATAGGAGAAACTAGGAATCCTGGTTTTCGGAAGTAGAAATAAAATAGGAGAAACAAAGCAAGAATATGAACCCCGGTTCGCTCTTCCCGCGCTCATTTCTACCCGGTGGGCCAGCGTTTTTGCATTTTTCCCAGTGTTTTCACTGCATTTCCTTTGCTCGCCTATTTCATTCTTATTTTTCCCTTTGTGAATTCCTATTTTCCTTTTTTTATTCATATGTTTATATTTTTTTCCACCTATTTTCGTTCTATAGTTTTATCCTATGTGTTCAATTTCCATTATTTTCCCGTATTCCCGTCAAACCTGGAATTCCCACACCTCTCCTATTTTCTCCTAAAACGTGGTTTTGGAGGTTCTCAGGGTTAGCACTATTGAGTCGGACGAAACCTTGAGGCCCTGCCCTTGGCGCCGGGCTTCTGAGGTGAGGTGTTTTGTTTTTCTGCCGAAGGCGTTGGGACAAGTTTGGATAACATGGTGTCACGATATTCCTGCCTGTTTTTGCATTATGCATGCATGGGTGCCTCCATGAGACATAACTCATGTCGATGTTTTTTGGCTGGAAAACGTTTGCGCGACACGCGGGGTCGTGGTTTCTTGCTGTTGAGAAGAAACGCCGGGGTGCGCCGACGCAAAACAAAAGAGCCCTGACCGACTGAAGGCAGGGTTGTTGCTCTGGCAATATTGGCGGTCGCATGCGGTCGTTTGTTGTGCAGAGTCCTTGTGTCTGTTGTTTGACCGTGCCGTGCTATCGACACCCTTTTCTGGGCCGCAGACGGCGCGTCGAGGCACCGGGGACGCTTCCAGTGCATGTGAGCATGGCTCCACAATAAGAGTCCCCCCAGTCCCCTGGACCCCGTGTTAGAAGCCCTGAAGTGACTCCACCCTAAGCCCTAAACCCTAAGACCCTAAAACGGTGAACCCTAAAACTCTACACCCTAAACCCTAAAATGCTAAACCCTCAGCCCCTAGTCCCAGAACCCTGGGGGCTGAAACCGCCGCAAAGACGAAGACCGGGTCTCTGAAGCATCGGTCATTGTCTGGGTTCTTGTTAAGGGGTTAAATTTAAGTTACCATAATAAAGAAAGGGTTTAGGGTTTCGGGTTTGTGGCAACTTCACTTAAATCCTTGAACAAGAACCCAGTTGTCTTCCACGGTAACCTTCTAATCTCCTCCTCGTCCAAAACCCCGCCCCTAAAACCCCGACACCCGAAGCCCTAAACCCAGTAAACTCCTTGCCCCGCGGTCTCCCTACCGGATCTGCTGTGGGAAAAGGTTTTCAAATCAAGAACCGGCAATCTCCAGACCCTTGAACCCTTCATTGACTTCAACCCAGACCTGGCAAACGGTGCAGAGGTCGCGAGCGCAGCCGCAGCCGCGATGGCA